AAAAAAAAAAAAAAGAATAAATAAATTATAAAGAATTTCAGAAAATAAAATTTAGCCCAGCATGGAGGTGTGTGATCATAATTCAGTTATCTGTGCAACTTAGCCAATCATGAGTTGGAAGACAGACTAGGAAACTCAGTGAAACATTGTCTTAAAAGAAAAAAGAATGAAAATCTACCAATCCATACAGTATAAAGTTATATTGTATTTTGTTAAATTTGGATTTTTACTTGTTTTATTGGTTGGTCTGCCAATTCTATTTTTTAAATGGATATAATTTATATTAGTGATACTAGTAATACAGAAGAGTGATATTTGATTTGGGAATTTGTACATTAATAAAACATCTATTGATTATTTTCAATTTCTTTTTTCTCTTCTCTTTTACTTCATCCCTTGATATCTTTCTCCATTTCCAAGGATCTACCTTCTACTTCCTTTAATTTATCCCTTATTTCACTCATTAATGAACTAATGTTTTAAGTTTCTCAGATAGGAGAAAACACAATGTTTAACTTTCTGAGTCTGACTTATTTGGCTTACCGTGATGGATCTACTTCCATTCATTTTTCTGTAAATAATATTAACTCATGTTGCCTTATGGCTGAGTACTGTTCATATTTATCACATTTCCTTTATTCTTTGGTTGACCAGCATCAAGGCTACTTCCATTATCAGCTATTGTGAATTCTGTTACCATAAAATCATTATACAATTATAGCTATAATAAGTTGACTTTAATGCTTCTGTAGATGGACCATATTGTGGTATAGATAAGTAAAATGGTATTTCTATTACATTCCACAAACAATTACAAAGCTTCCTTTTTTCCCCACATCCTCACAAGCATTCATTGTTTTGTGTATTCTTGATGATATATATCCAGGATGGGATGAGATGGAATCTCAATGTAGGTTTGATTTTTATTTCCCAAATGGCCAAAACTGTTGAACACTTTTTCATATATTTATTGGCTATTTGTAGTCATTCTTTTGAGAAATGTCTATTTAGGTCATTTGACCAGTTTTGATTAAAGTATTTGTGTTTAGGGGATCATTTTTTATTTATATAGTCTAGTTATTAGCACGTTATCAAAACAGAAGGAATAGCAGACTTTTCCTATTCTCTAGGTTGTTCTTTCACCCTGTTAAACATTTCTGTTTCTGCCAAGAAGCATTTGAATTGAAGTAATCCTATTTGTTGATTCCTGATATTATTTTTCTGTATTATTAGATTCCTATTCAGGAAGTCTATGTATATGGCTTTAAGAGTTTTCTTTATATTTTCTTCCAGAAGTTTTCAATTTTCTGGTTTTGTGTATGGGGCTTTGATCCATTTTAACCTTTTGTTAATAGAGATGAAAGATAAATCTAATTTCAATTTTTGGCATGTGTCTACCCAATTTTCCTAGCACAATTTGTTGGTGAGAATTCTTCCTTAAGCATGTTTTAGTTTCTTTGACAAAAATCAGATACCTGGAAGTGCTTGGGTTTATTTATATGTGGTCTGCTCCATTCCATTTGTCTCTATGTAATACGTTTCCATGACATATCATGTTGTTTTATTACTATAGTTTTCTGATATAAATTAAAATCCGATCCTGTGAGATCACCAGCATTGCTCTTTTGCTCAAAGTTGCTTTGGCTGTTCTATGTCTTTTCTGATTCCATATGGATTTTAAGATTATTTTTCTAGCACTTTGAAGAATGTTGGTATTTTAAGAGGAAACTACATCGAATCTGTATGTTGCTCCTGGTAATGTGGCCCTTTTAACAATATTAATTCTTGAAATTCATGAAGAAAGTTTTCTCCATTTCCTAATGTCTGTTTAAATTTCTTCAGTGTTTTGTAACTTTTTATTGGAAAGGCTTTTCATTTCTTTGATTAGTTAGATTCTGAGATACTTAACTTTTTGTTATGTTGCAAATGGGATTGCTTTCCTAATTTTTTTACTTAATACATTTATTATTGGTACATAGGGATGCTATTTAATTTTGAGGTTGATTTTGCATCCTGCCGTATTGAGAAATTTGCTCATCAGATCTAAAAATATCCTGCTTGAGTTTTTCTGGTTTTCTGTTTATCAGCCAGTGCTTATTACAGAAAGAGATTAACACGAGATACATTAATATATAATAATTTGGAATGTAGGATTACAATAGAAACCCACAGAGTCAGTTGCAGAATGCAAAATGGCTTTCTACATGCTGAAGATCCAAAAGATCTAGTCAAATTTTGACGGCTTGTATCTCACTGTACAACCTTTGAAAGTCCATATCAGAAGGCCAAAAGGTCTGCAGTGGAAGCCAGAGGGTGACAACCAAGGTAAAGTTAAAGGCTGGATCTCTTCAGAAGTAATAAAGGTAAAAAGAGAAAAGAAAAAAAAATGGAAACAATGTGTCTTTGTAAACACGGAAGGGTGTAGAGGATAAGGGGAAGGCTGGGGACTGGAGAAAAATAAGAACCTGATAAGTCATATATAGGTACAAGATCCCAATGATGAATGCAACTGTATTGTATACCTAAAATGTACCAATAAACTCAATGAGGAATAAATAAATAAATAAGTTCTGTGAAGTAAAAAAAATAAAAAAAGAAGTAATAGAGGCAAGGCTTCGTTCTTTACTTCCTTTTTATTCCAGTCAGGCTACAAGACCAATGGTTGATGCCACTTACAGCCAGAAAGAGTCTTCTGTCTTCAGTAAACCCCTGCAACTGCACCCAGAATTATGCTAATCCAATCAGTTCAGCTTTTCCTACTCAAGTTGACACAATCAGTTGACTATCACCGTCAGTTTTAAATAACACATATTTTCAAGTTATTGCTTTCTTTAATTATGAATACTTTATAGATAATAATCCTAAATATGATAGATGGTGTTATTGCCTTGAAAGATACTGTTTACCAATAACAGGTCTTATGAATTGCCTCAAAGGCTCTTTGCATTCACATTTCTGATTCATTAGTAGTACTTCCTCTAGGATGCAACTCACATGACTGTAATCATATATGTTTACACATAACCTTAGCTTTTTTTATTTTCCCTGTCATCCATTTTCTCATCTCACCTTCTCCTGAGACTGGATTAAAAGATTAAAGCCTCTGCTTCAGGTTTTACATATATGAATCTTAAGCAAAGAAAATATTTTCACAGAATTAAAATCATGTGCCAAATTTATTGAATGAGGCATAAAGCAACATCAAGTCACAAGCCAAGTTCAAATCTACCTAATTGTTATATTTTATAATCATGGTAGAAATTTATCCCACATGAAAGAAAAGGTTCAAGCTTTGTGGCTCCTCCAAAATCCTGTTATTTTGACTTGTTCTGGAAACCTGAATGCAAAACAACGATACATGACAGAAAAGAATGTAACATATAATTGAGCCTCCTCAACGCTTTTTTCATGTTCCTGTTCCTGAGAGTGTAGATAAAAGGGTTCAGCATCTGAGTGGCCACAGAATACATTACCGAAGCCACTGCGACCTTCCTAGGTGAATCTGTAACCACAGAGCTGATGTAGACCCCAAAACCTGTCCCATAGAACAATGAAACAACACAGAGATGAGACCCACAAGAGGAAAAGGCTTTATACTTTCCTCTTGATGACATTCTCAAGACAGAGAACACAATGTGAATATAAGAGATAATGATTCCTGAGAGAGGAATACCACCCACAAGGCCACCCACCAAATATACTAGGATGCTATTGAGGAGGCTATCAGAACAGGCGAGCTTGATGACCTGAGCAAGCTCACAGAAGAAGTGTGGGATTTCCAGGTCTGTACAAAAGGACAGGTGCAGCGCCATCAGAGTATGAAGCAGGGCATGAAGAGTGCTAATAAACAGGGAGAGTAAAACCAGCAGGACACAGAACTGAGGGTTCATGATTACTGTGTACCTGAGAGGGTGACAAATGGCCACATAGCGGTCATAAGCCATCACTGCAAGGAGACAACTTTCTAAACTACCAAAAGCTAAGACAGAGCAGACCTGGGAGAGGCAGCCTGTGTAGGAGATGCTCTGATCCTGTGCTCCGATGTTCACCAGCATCTTTGGGACAGTGCATGTGATCAAACAGATGTCATTAAAGGATAGGTTAGAGAGGAAGAAGTACATGGGGGTGTGGAGGTGGGAGTCAGAGCTGACGGCTAGGATGATGAGCAGATTCCCGATCACAGCTACCAGGTACATGGACAGGAAAAGGTAGAAGGTGAGGAACAGCAGTTCAGGATCATCTGTCAGTCCTAGGAGAAAAAATTCTAAGACAGCTGTTTGATTTACCTCATGCATGTTCCTGATGAATCTGATGGAAAGGAAAGGAGAAAACAAAATAAAGCAAACTTTCAATACAAACAGAAATGACAGTGCCTGAAAACATGGTAGATATGAAAAACTTTGGACCTGCTCTGAACCTACTTTTCACAGAATGTGAGGATAAGGGCCAGAAGTCTCTGTTTTAACAAACATTCCAGGGGAATTTGACATGTGCAAAGTTTCAAAAAATTTTAACACAAAGAAAAAATTTGTCCTTTATATTGAGCTAATGTAATATTCAAATATTAGTGTATATGCTTCTTCTATTCATCTCGAAGCATATGTCTTGTAACTTCTAATCTCTTTCTTGAGCACTAAAACATTTTCACACTTTGTATCATTCACTGAGACTGTTAGACACAATATGGCATAGGTGTCTGGTAGAATTATCTCACACTTTCAAACAAAACATATAAGGATGATCTTATCACATGTATCTTCTGAGACATGGTCTTCATTTTGAAATGCCTCAGAATCACTCAAACTCCTTGTCAAAATACAGGTGAAGCAGTTCCCACTATAAAAATCCATGTACCTATGAGAACAAGTCATGGGCAAAATATATGAAGTTAATGATTAAGAAAGACTGATTCAGAGATCCGATCGTCTGACTGATGAGTTGACTTTCTGAAAACAAAACAAAAAAAATTGTGAATATGTCTAGATCCTGAATGTCATGATTTTCATTTACTATATTATTTTAATACTTTCTTCTTGTGCATAACCCAAATGTTCCATTAAAATTTAAGTGTTCCTACTTCCACTCATGAAACTAATTGTAATCTGTGGAAGATACACAATCTGTGGCTGTGAACAAGGATTAGAAAATGTTGCCTATTCTCATTTCTTTTAATTTTCCCTTTCCTCTACCCCACCTACTTTCACTACTCCTGCAGGCCTTTTCTTCCCATTATACAATAACAATTATACATTTTGATCCTTATTTACACCTTTAGTTTATCATACCAGAGAAACTATTTGGTATTTACACATTTGTGTCTTATTACTTTCACTTAAGTTTATGGCCTCAATGTGTATTCACTTAGCTATAAATGTCTCTAGTTTCTCATTTTATGGCTGAGTAGTACTCCATTGTATAAAAAATAAAATATATTTTTATCCAGGCTCCAGTTGCTGGACAATTAGACTGTTTCCAAGTTTTAGCAATTACAAACTGTGCTGTTATAAACATGGGGGAGCATATATTGCTGTGGTATGATTCTTTTAATGGTTTTGGTAAGTACCCAGCAGAGGAATAGCTGGGTCAAGTGGGACTTCTAATCCTACTTTTTTGAAGTATCTCCACATGAGAAAAGGGAAAACATGGAAAAATGTTCTTGTGAATAGGGAAGAGTGGAGGGAGCAAAAGGAGGGCTGGGGAATGGAGAAAAACAATAACAAAGATACATCATGTAAAGTTACAAGATTGCACTGATGAATATAACTGTATTGCATACCTAAAATGTAACAATAAGCTTAATTCCTCATAAAAGGTAAATATTTGTTAAGCTTCTGGTATATTGATGGCATCCCAATAAGATCTGGGAATACTTTGGTAAGAGTGAAAGATATAATTTCTTTCCTTTCAGAGCATTTAGTCCAGTGGGGAGACTGGCACTTAAATAACTAAACTCACCTTCCTACTGATCATGATCCAGAAATTAAAAACTATGACAGAGAACACATAACAGAGATGCCAAATAACTCCCAAAGGAAGTTGCTTTTAAACTGGGCACTGAACACTGAGTAGGAAGGTAAAAGGACTTTATTTTCGTGTCACAGTTGTTTTGGGATTTATGCCTTATTTTTCAACAAAGGTTTCACAAAATAATATTTTAGACTTTAGAAACTTTACATTTGGAAATATTAAGTATTTTGTTTCAGGGTTTATTTGCCATATCTAGATTTCTATGTTTCCTAAGTCATAGTTTAAGAGCAAATTTTAAATTTGGCTATGGCTGTGGTGTCACAAAGAAGAACCACTATCCTTATCTAAGACAGTACTATCTATGAGAAACTAGAGAACTATCCTGGTTCTAGTGAAACCTCTAAGGCATGGGAATTGTACCTAAATTTGCCTGCTTAACAAACACTGTCTGTCATCATTGAATGTGTATTCATTACCACACCTAATTTTGTTGTAATTGTTTCAAAATACAGTAATGTCTCTTTGGGGACAACTATCCTTAGCTGTCCAATTTCAAAGTCTTACCTTGATTATTTCCCTATTACATTACCTAAGGTACTATGTTGGTATAGATGCTTTTTCAGGACTAAAATGACACATGCATAGGGCAAACACCAGTTATTACAACCCTCCTACTTGGGAGAATTAGGAATTAGAAAGATCGGTGCTCAAAATTCCTGCTTCACCTATCTAGAATTGTGTATTTTTATCCAGGAAAAGAGAATAACAGTCACTGTAAGTGACTAGCCTCTTGGAAACTCATAAAATTGAAGCACAGTTTATCAAAGCGCCCTAAAGTTTTGACCAAGAGCCAATTTTTTACCAGTTCAATTGTTTTAATGTGAAAGAACATTGCATAAAGCTTGCATTCCTTGAGGTAAGACTAGCCTACAGTAAATAACACCCTATGGTAAGTCAGTGGCTAAAAGAAGATATGAATTTCTTTCCTTCATAATTTAATGCCCATGTTGATGCTCCAAGTTAGAGGGGTCTTCATGCCACATGTGTTTTGTTTTTGTTTTCTTATTTTGTGGTGAACTGGATTGAAACGAGACATTTGCACTGAGCTACATTCCCAGCCCTTTTTAATTTTTTTTAATTCTGAGACAGCTTTATCCTAAGTTTCCCAAGCTGACCTTGAACTTGTGATATCCTATCTGAACGTGCTAGGATTACATTTCTAAGCCACCATGCTGGTGTTACACATGTTTTTTTAAGTGATAAAGATCCACTTAATTGCTTAAATAATTTTCATTTGTCTCCACTTTTCCCAGGACATTCTACTCACTGGAATCATACTTAGCGTTGTTATAGGTCCCGGTTAGTGGGAAAGGGAAGAATGAGAAAGCCCAAGAATGAATATATCACTTCTATTGGTGTTTCTGAAGTGAAAGCACAGTTTTGTGGCCTCAGAAAACTAACACTGAGGATCAGAAATACAATGATTGCAAAGTGCTCACATGCCCACTTTGAATTACATTAATGTAGAAAAAGAGAAAAGTGGGTATTGTTGTAGGATTAGCAGTCTCCATAACTTTACTTTAGCAATGTAAACTGAACTATACTTTTTGTGTGGAAGAGGTTATTAGTCCTGTAAACAAGTGAAACATGTCCTGTAAACGTGATTTTTGTAAGCATAGGAATTTGCTAGTTTTGTAAGAAATGAACCATATTTCCCATTGGAAAATAAGTCTGTGTAAGTTCTTTACTGATGATTAACAAATACTCCAATCTTTAGAAGCTTGAGGCAGGTGTCACCAAACTTTTTCTATAAAAGGGAAGATAGCAAATACTTTAGATTTTTTTAGGATATAGAATCTCTGTAGCAACTGTTCAACTCTGCTACTGTAATGTCACAGCAGTCTTTGATAATATGTGTAAACAAATGAGGATGGATGTGTACTACATGAAACTTAATTTTCAAAGAACTCAACAAAATAAAAGAAAATGTTGCTTATGTTTTGTAGGACTTCCTCAGAAATAAATTAACCAATCTGCATTAGCAATTAACTGTAAGAGGCCTAAGTAACAATGTGGATGAATTACTCTCTCTAATCCTCTGGGAACTTCTTCCCTTAATTACATGAGACCAGGTCATTGATTGAATTAATAAATTTCAAACAAACAGCTAATTTAAAGAATGAGGAAATTCAGGAGCTCTTACTAAGAATGATGGAAATACTACTATTTTTTGTTGTTACAGAGTTAGAGATTCACAATATGATACAGACTTAGAAAAACCAAGCATTTAACAGCTGTGTCCTTGAAGAATAATGATCTCCTGAGCAAGAGAGAGAGGCAGCTATGAAGATTTTATTTCATATTAGACTGATACACTTAATTCAGGATCCCAAAACTACTTTGTGTTAAGGAATAATCTTCAATTGGAAGAGTAGTCTGGACATCTTTCATTTGCTTAATAGAAACTTTGCAGTGGATGTGGTACTTAGGTATAATGTGATAACCACTCTATAATTTATATTTCCTCACATATCATATATGTATATATATATATAATTTTTTGTTTATGCAATTAGATTTCAATAAATTTTGAAAGAAAAACTTCAGAGGAGCATTTTAGCGAAGAGAAAGGAACAAAGCAAAAACATCCAACAAGTTTGTGTAGGTGGGACTCACATATCAAGCTTTGCTCTGTGTGTGTGTAGCAATGTGTATGTATGTGAATATCACATGTCATTTTTCACCTCTCAGAAAGAATTTATGAGGTAAGGCATAATGTTTAAGCAAAAACAAATAAAGAATATAGGCGGTGGGTGCATGACCTCCAGGACTGCGCTCCACCAGACCCAGTAAGGACCCAAGAACCCCGGAGGGGGTCTCTCCACTTGCCTGCCTGGGATCACGTGGCAGGTGTGCAACCTCCCAGACTGCGAGCCACCAGAACCAGGTAGGAAAGTAGCTGCACAGGCACACTTGAAACACCCCCACGACCTGCTCCCTCCACTTTGTCAAACTTCCCGATTGGGCCAGTCCTTGGACCAACTCTGCAGAGACATAAGTTCTCATGAAGGGTAGTTTTCTGAGCTCCCAACTTTGAACATCTTTAAAGAAAGGGCAGGGGAAACCTGTAATAGAACTGAGTGGAGTTCATCCCTGAGAGTTGGGAAACTCAACTTAGGCCTTGTGGACTGAGTTCAGTCTCAGTCATGGAGAACTGCCATTGGCTAGCTGAGACCAGGGGATTTGGTTCTGCATATGGCTGTAAATGTGGTATAATATGAGAACAGAGACATAGTCTGAAAGAGACCCTTCAAATTGTTTTTTTTTCTTTTCTTTCTTTCTT